TTCCTCACTTGTGAATACCTCTATGACTTGGGCAAGATCACAGAGCAGCTTACTGGACAAGCTGGCAATAGACTCCAGCATCTAGCTCTAATCCAGGAGTCGGCAACCTATGGCACGTGTGCCAAAGGCAGCAAGCGAGCTGATTTACTGTGGCACGCTGCTGCCAGCCTGGGGTCCCGGCTGCCGGCCCCGCTCAGCCCACTGCTGGCCTGGATGGACGGAACCCCAGGCCGGCAGTGGGCTGAGCGGGGCCGGCGGCCAGGACCCTGGCTGGCAGGGAGCGGCTCAGCCTGCTGCAGGTCTGTGGTCCCAGCCACCAGTCCGCTCAGCCTGCTGCCAGTCTGGGGTTCCATCCGCCGGCCCCTGTAAATGTAAAATGTATTACTGGCACGCAAAACCTTAAATTACTGCGAATAAATGAAGACTTGGCACACCACTTCTGAAAGATTGCTGACCCCTGCTCTAATCATTAGACCACGTCCATATAAAGCAGCTAAGTGTTATTATAATAAAAGTTCTTACATGAAAATTATATCATTTTGCAAACAGTAGACCAAAAAGGGATCAGTCATCCCATAAGGAGTACAAATTCCATGAGGACCTGATCCTGCTTTCACTGAAGTCGAGAGGAATTTTGCCAAGACTTCTATAGGAGCAGCAGGAGGCCCTTTTGCTGTCAATATGACCAACAATTCATCTGAGTTAAAGGGATTTTTCACTAAACTAGATAAATACCCTTCATCTCACACAACATGTTAGTTTCTAGGTTGAATAGAACAGTCTTTTGAGGAAAGTGAGTGAAGGGGATGTCCCACAAACTCTGTATGAACACTAATTGATTAAGCCTCACACAACACAATTGAGCAGGTAGGTAAATATTATTAATCCAATTTTTATAATGGGTAAACTGAGGCAGAGTGACTTGCCCATTGCTTCATGGTGAGTCAGTGGTAAAGCAGGGATTATAACTCAGGAGTTCCTGGCTCCCAACATCCACTGCTCATTCCTTCAGACCATGTTTGGAAGGCATCAGGAAGAGGAAAAACATCTATACTCTGATCATATGGACTAAAATCTAGAAAATAATATTGAGGAGTACAGCTTTCAAAAAAAAAAAATAATAATAATCTAGCAAGTTCATCCCACCCTTGAGAACATAAGAATGGCCATATTGGCCTGGACCAATGGTCCATCTATTCCAGTATCCTGTCTTCTGACAACGGCCAGTGACAGATGCTTCAGAGGGAATGAACAGAACAATTATCGAGTAATCCACCCCATCGTCCAGTTCCAGCTTCTGTCAGTCAGAGGTTTAGTGGGATCCAGAGCATGGCATTGTGCCCCTGACCATCTTTACTAATAGCCACTGATGGACCTATCCTCTATGAACTTATCTAATTCTTTTTTGAACCCAGTTGTACTTTTGGCTTTCACAACATCCACAGCAACAGGTTCCACAGGTTCACGGTGTGTTGCATGAAGTAGTACTTCCTTATGTTTGTTTTAAACCTGCTGCCTATTAATTTCATTGGGTGACCCCGGATTTGTGTGTTATGTGAAGGAGTAAATAACACTTCCTTATTCACCTTCTCCACAGCAGTCAAGATTTTATAGACCTCTATCATATCTCCCCTTAATCGTTTCTTTTTCACCCTGAACAATTCCAGTCTTTTTAATCACTCCTCATAAGAAACTGTTCCATACCTTAATAATTTTTCTTACCCTTCTCCAATTCTTTATATCTTTTTGAAGATGGGGCAACCAGAACTTCACGCCGTATTCAAGTTGTGGGCATACCATGGATTTATATAGTGGCATTATATTTTCTGTCTTATTATATATCCCTTTTCTATGGTTCCTAACATTGTTAGCTTTTTTGACAGCCACTGCACACTGAGCAGATGTTTTCAGAGAACTATCCACAATGACTTCAACATCTCTTTTCTTGAGGGGTAAGAGCTAATTTAGACCCCGTTATTGTATGTACAGTTCGGATTATGTTTTCCAATGTGTATTACTTTGCATTTATCAACACTGAATTTCATCTGCCATTTTGTTGCCCAGTCACCCAGTTTTGCTAGATCCCTTTATAACTCTTCGCAGTCAGCTTTGGACTTAACTATCTTGAGCAATTTCGTATCACCTGCCAACTCCCACTACAGATCTTTGGGAGACCCTATTTACCTCTTGTGTAAATAATAGACTTATGATAGCATCATACTGCTTCAGTATAATTGCAACATTTTTCTAAAAAAATAAAACCTCACACACACACACCTGGCTATTGCTATCTATAGAAAAGCTCTAACATCAATAGGACAGCTCTCTGACCAGTACTTTAGACTCAAAGACTTTAAGGCCAAAAGGAACCATCATGATCATCTTGTCTGACATCCTGCACATTGCAAGCCACAGAACCTCGTCCGCCCACTCCTGTAATAGACCCATAACCTCTGCCTGAGTTACTGATGTCCCCAAATCATGATTGAAATACTTCGCGTGTCTGTTCTTCTATACTCCCTTTGTATTTTTCCCCAAAAGCTCTCTGAAACTGCAGGCTAAAGAAAATGGCACTTAAAACGTTTGAGTGAATTTAGTATTTATAAAACTAACATTTATCAGGATTCAGACACAGAGCAGGCTGACTTTTTTGCAACCTTACCTGTTGCTGCACTGCCCCTGCACCTCATTCCTGAACTGTAGCATCCACTTCTTTACGTACTTACTTGGCCCTCGTCACCACTGTATCTGAGCACACGAATCTTTAATGCATTTATCTTCACAACACCAATATAGGGTAAAGAAGTGCTATTATTCCCATTTTACAGATGGGAACATAGGTACAGAATTGCTAACTTACTTGCCTAAGATCACACAGGAAGTTTGTGGTAGAGCAGGGAACTGAAGGTAGGTCTCTCAAGATTTAGGCTAGCACGCTAATCAGTAGACCCTCCTTCCTCCGTTATCCAGTCCTAGACCTCACCCTAGTCCTCTGCTTACGTACCACAATGCTGTCTTGCAACACCTTTTCTATTCCAGCCTAGGGCCAGTGTTCAGCAGGGACTGCCACTCATACTAAACTAAGGATATGGTAACACTGTATTGCAGCTAAGACAGGTTTAGAATGGGTACTACCAATTTCCTTTTGCCACCAATGGACCACAAAAGACATACTAAGCTCTTAACAGGAGTAATGTACAGGACACACAGAGAGGAAGTCCTATCACAATCCAGGAACATCAATTAAGTCCACTTCATAGGGCCACAGCTTGTGCACACAGCATTCATTATTCCAGTCTCTCCTCAGCAGGAACTATGCCTTAATTTTGTCTGGGCAGCCATATGTTCTATAGACCAACGTTAGACAATCTGACCGAATCCTTGCCATGAATGCATTTACAGTGTAAAGGGGCATTTTCACTTACCTAAAGTTAAAACTAATATGTTTTAAATTTATTACATTTAACAGATAGAAACACAGATCAAAACCTTTTAAAGTGTAAGAAATGCACTTTGATGTTATTTTAAAAAGGATAAAAAAAATTTAGTTATAGCAAGATAGTGCTTTTGAGTGAGAGATCTAGCTTGATTGTACATTACCCTCAACTTCACCACCTACTTCCCTAAACCACTCCAGAAGACGACAGAATAGTTTCTCTCTTTCCCGCCCCCACAGTGCAATTGCAATCTTTGAACCATCAAAATACACAAACTAGCTTCCAGGCCCCCAAGGAACGGAGATATGTTAGAGCTGAATGTTTTTAGAGTCCAGCGGTTCAGAGTCAAATATGTCCACCTTCATAATGAGCCACTCTCAAATACAGGCCCTAATCATGTTCCCAAGCAAATGGCAAAATCCCCACTGATTTCAACAGGAACAGCCATCAGAGGAACTAATTTAATATTCTGGGAGTAGGAAATCATTGCAGTTACCTAACAAACACTGGTTCACTTTAACCCTCCCTAGCTTACATCATATTTCTAACCATAAGTAAACTGACTAGCAAAAATTTTTAGGTGGTAACAAACTGCAGATTATCCTATTGGCTGCTGCTCTGTCCTTATGGGATGCTGAAACCAGGTGCCTTATATGCTAGTGTTGAGATCTGAAAGTATATTAAGTACTGAAATCAGTTTCCATGCACAAGATATCGACGATTTGGATACAGGTTGCAGTTACTGCAATCAAATACCTGGGTGCATGGAGATTTCAGAACCTGAGGCAGAAGCACTGACCTACAGAAAGCACAGAAACCTGTTCCAGGGGATTTGGATACCTATCAGAAAACAAGCATGGCATGACCTAACCCCTATTTATACATGCCAAAACCCACCCAGCTTGTCCACTTAAGAATCTGTACTCTAAAGGTCCAGAATTAGGATAGCAGCATATATGGCTCAGAATTAAGATAAACGTGGTAGAGATTTGGGAGGCTGGGGATGAAGGAAATCTTGTACAGCTCTTACCTGTACTAAACATAAGTCCCTCATGTTCGTTAACACTAAGTTTACTCTACAATTTTAAGACAAAAAGAGGGGTATTAATTTTAAATTGCATGCAGCAAGACTGCAGCAGCTGTCAAATAATGAATAACAGCAATGTAATCTGAATCACCTCTCTGTTCTCATACCATAAGCAACTCCCCACCCAAAGGGCAATTTACCACATTTCACTAAAATGAATATTAGCCAGAATTCTCTGTACCAAGTTTCCTGTTGAGGCAGTCCATTAGCAGCGCTGAGCTGCGTAGCTGCACATACGCAGCTTGCATGCATTATACAGATAAAAAATAAATAAAAATAAAAAGCAAAGTTACCAAGCACTCAATCTCCCCATTTCCTCCACACACACAGCTCCTTGCTGCAAACCTTCAGGCTTGCAAAAACCACAGCCATGATTCAAATAGCCTCCACGGTGTTGATTCTAGCCTCAATCAGGAGCAAGGTGCAGGAGTGCGCAGGCCCTTTGGACCTTATAAGAACCCTAGATTTCAATTTACCTCGTCCTAATATGAGGCAGACACTGTCAGAATTATGTAACGGAGCGAGTCCTTTCTCTCTCTTTTTGTTTCACTTCCCAAGAAACGACAAAAAAGTGTTTTCCAGACCCGATCCTCAAGGCTCCCAGGAAAGAAGCAGGAAGTTCTCTTGCAATCAAGAATATCCCACGAAGTGGTCACTACTCAGCTCCCCTTCTGTGCACAAGCAAAGCGAAGTCCTGCACTGTACTTGGCTGAAATCTACAGCTCCTGTTTTTGATTCTCTCTCACCTCCAGTCCCACGATGCAGTGTCAGGATTGCATGGCTCTGACTCATCGGCTGAGCTCACAGCTTTAAAAAAAACCAACAAGGCGGTGGCGGCAGCAGCGAGGGAGGGCGCTTTCTCCGACCTAAAGGATTGCACAACTCCCAGGCAAGGAAACAAGAAGCACCCGCCTCCTAAACACACATGCACTATAGAGAACTGAAACCAGCTCTTCCACTTCATCAGCACAACTGCCTAAGTCAGGAGCCATCTCTCCCCCGCTCCCTCCCTGCTCAAGCAGGCCTGGGCCACTCCCACTTCCCGTTGCCATATAAGGCAGTGAAAGGGTTTTAAAACCACCTAGCAACTCCACAGAGCTGGGGATTTCCAGTATATTTTCGCTCTACAGAATAGCTTTCCCTTTCTCTCTCACACACATCTACGGTTTGATTTGCAAAAAAGCATCTAGTTAGCATCTCTTCAAACCACACCAGGAGAATGACTTTTGGAGAACATTGTGTTACCCACTAAGACTACATATGCAGTTTATCTTTCCACTGAGGAAACCTCTCTTTGCAATTTGCTATGTTCAGAATAGTTACATATGCATTAAACGGAAATTAAGCTATTACAACTGATAATTGGGGTGCATATCAGAGACAAAAATATCCAACAGGCCTTCTTCTGGGATATTATGCTCACAAAACAGTTCTGTTCACAAACTCTCCAGGGGCAGGCAGGCTAGGCAAGTAAAAAGATGTACATACATGTGGGACAGATAGAGCATGACTCGGTAGCATAGGAAATAGGACAATGTCAGATCAGAGGTCTCAGCAGCTCTGCTGCTGACTCACTGTTTAAGTGCCTTACCTAAGATTAAACACTTTGGCTCTCAGCACTGCCAGCCCCAAACATTCAAAAACATAAGTTGGGACCCCCAAATAATCGTGACACTGGCTTAAAAATCATGACAATTTAAAAATAATACAGTATATACATTTTGGGTTGCTTATTTTAATTTGCCCTCTTGGTTTTGAGCTTTTAGTATACACTTGGGGCACATTTTCAAGCTTTTCTCAGCAACCATGAGGGCCAAAAATTCACTTAAAAAAATACAAAAGCCAAAATTCTCACAATCATTTGTCTCCAGGGGCTGAGGCTTTAAGAAAAAACATTAAATGTAAAATTGTGAGCATTGGCAAAACTGGTTTCCTGCTTTGTAAGACAGGTATATCGATAGACACCTATTTAAAGTGCTTTGAGATTTACACATGAGGAAAGGTAAGTAGTAGTATTACTTAAGAACATGTAACTACTTTTAACTATTTTTTTTCTGATTGATTAGATTGTACAGTGGTTATCACTTTAAATAACTAATTGTTCTCTTTGTTTTTGAGTCCCCCTGCCAATTTTTGTGGTTTTCAAAAACACATTTTCTTTTCCCTGTTGCTGTGTGAAAAATCCCAAACTACAGGAGAAACTGACTATATAAAGAAAACAGTGCTGTCAAAGACAGCAAATAAAACAATTAAATAAATATTTGTTTTCTTTAATCTTAGGTATGTTACTTGCAAGAATATTAGGGAAAAAATTCTGACAAGAGTAATTTTTAAGTGACGACGTCCCTTAAAAATCAGATTAGACTTATGCTGCATGGACCATTCCTAAATTACTGCCTTGCTAAAACCAGTCTGCTTTCTTTTGCACTCTAAGCACAGTCCTGGACCCCAGCCCTGGAAGATGTTCCATGCAGGTGAACTCTTATGCTTGCATGATGTCCCACAATGGGGTTTTGTGCAGGCACGCGGGCTTCCCTAAAGCAGCTTGCAGACTCAGGGCCTATGGCTGAAGAATCTGACGTTTCCATTACCCCCATGTTTGTTTTGGGTATTTAAAATTTGAGGTCAAGCACAGACAACAGCTCATTTCCACTACTGTTGCAATGTGCAAGAAGGCTGCAACTGAGAGCAGAGTGAAATGTTGTAGGATAAAATATTAGAAGGAAGAATTAACTAACTGCCGTGTGAACCTTGAAGTATGCTGGTTTCTGCAAGCACAGTTCATCTTGCACCTGCATTCTCCATTCCCTTTGCACATTCAGTACAACATAACAACAGTCCAGCATTTATTACCAAATGCCTTTGGTGCCCCAAAGAGATCATGGGAACAGAAATTGTTCCACAAGGGATGGCACAGCGTACCCAGTAACATTTTTCTGAAGTGCATACACTACCACCTACAATTACAAAAGCATCTCCCCATTAAAATCAATATTTGCTTCCTTTCTTTGTGGGACATTATAGAACACCATAAGGGAAAAAAGCATCTCATGGAGTGCACTGTTAGGTACATATTACGATGTGAAGTGCTGTACAAACAGAACAGAAAAATGGTCCCTGCCCTAACCAGCTTACAATCTAAGTATAAGACAAGAGACAGCAGATGGATATAGACAGATGGGGAGTACAAAGAAACAATGAGACATTACTGGTGATAGGCAGTGGCCTCTGCACACCAACAACCTAACTGCTATCAATTTCTTTGTAGGCATCACAGCAAAGAAGAGTTTTGAAGAGGGATTTGAAGGTGGATAGAATCATAGACTATTAGGGTTGGAAGAGACCTCAGGAGGTCATCTAGTCCAATCCCCTGCTCAAAGCAGGACCAACACCAACTAAATCATCCCAGCCAGGGCTTTGTCAAGCTGGGCCTTCAAAACCTCCAAGAATGGAGATTCCACCACCTCCCTTGGTAATCCATTCTAGTGCTTCGCCACCCTCCTAGTGAAATAGTGTTTCCTAATATCCAACCTAGACCTCCCCCACTGCAACTTGAGACCATTGCTTCTTGTTCTGTCATCTACCACCAATGAGAACAGCCGAGCTTCATCCTCTTTTGGAACCCCCCTTCAGGTAGTTGAAGGCTGTTATCAAATCCCCCCTCACTCTTCTCTTCTGCAGACTAAATAACCTCAGTTCCCTCAGCCTCTCCTCATAAGTCATGTGCCCCAGCCCCCTAATCATTTCTGTTGCCCTCTGCTGGACTCCCTCCAATTTGTCCACATCCCTTCCATAGTGGAGGGACCAAAACTGGACACAATACTCCAGCTGTGGCCTCACCAGTGCCAAATAGAGAGGAATAATCACTTCCCTCGATTTGCTGGCAATGCTCCTACTAATACAGCCCAATATGCTGTTGGCCTTCTTGGCAACAAGGGCACACTGCTGACTCATATCCAGCTTCTCGTCCACTGTAATCCCCAGGTCCTTTTCTGCACAACTGCTGCTTAGCAAATCGGTCTCCAGCCTGTAGCGGTGCCTGGGATTCTTCCTTCCTAAGTGCGGTAGTGAGGTAGCTTTGTGGATATAGACATCTGTACTGTAACTAAGTGCAATTAATTTTTTTCTGCAACATACAAGATCAATAAGTAACAACTATGACATGCTGAATGCAGCCATTGGCAGAAAAATGCTATTCAACCTCTCAGCAAAGCTGGATAGATTATTTATTTAATGGTAATATTTTGGCTTCCACCTTGCTGCGAACATTATAGTACGGCCTCATGCACAAAGCTGTGTTTAAAGTGGTGGTAAGTAGAGAAGAGGTGGGGACTCTCTCTAATCCATTAATCTGAAACTTACTCCCCACTTTCAAGAAATTGAGGGTTTGCCCCATCCCTTTTATCTTATTTATAATGTTTATTAAAAATAAGAAGGGATGTTTCTTATTAGGTTTTTTAATACTTAGAAACATCAAGAATATCAGTAACTAAAACACAAAATTCTCCCTCAATTGCTCAACTTTAATTTCTCAACTCTTGCAATGGCACAATGTTACTAGCTCTCTACTCAGAGTCTTTGAAAGGAGGAAGACCTGAAATTCTGATACTAAGGGAAAAAAAGGACACCCTGCCACCCACACAAATATTTCAGGCTTTTCATATATTATAATGAAGCAAAAAAAGACAAACTGAACTCCCACTCATCCCTCATGCAAGCAACCTTTAACATTCTTTCACAATTGTTGTACCTTCTGTATAAACTACAATCTTGGCCTGTCTCTCTGACATCTTCTTGTGGATGTCTAGCCATCAGTTCAAGCTCAACATGATTAAAGCAGGGAACCTAATCTCCCTACTACCATGCAAAGCCCTCCCCACGACCTCCTTTCTCAATCACTCTGGACAACACCACCATCTTGCCTGCAATTTAGGCCTGCAACCTGGACATCATCTTCAACTCAGACTTCACTCTTGGGCCTCACATCCAGACTACATCTAAATCTTGCTGATTCTTCCTGGATTAACAGCTCAAATATATGGCTTTTCTCTTCAATTCACACATCTAAAAAACATCATCTCTCCAGACTCTCATCATCTAGCATCTAGATCAGAGGTCCTCAAACTGCAGTCTGTGGACCACCAGTGTCCACGAGCTCCATTCAGGTGGTCCGTGGATAGTTCCCTCTAAGGTGCACGCCTAGGAGGCTGCGCACCAGAGAATGAAGGACCACGCACCTAATTAGTGGAGCCACACAGGCGTGGCTCCACTAATTAGGTGCTTGGACCCTGGAGAAGACAGACATGTAAGGTGGTGGCCTTGGGGGAATAGGGAGTAGGTGGGAGGGGAAAGTGGGGTGAGAAGAGGGGTGGGGGGAATTTGGGACGTGCAGGGCTGCGGCGGCCAGAGAAAGAGGCGACTTTCCCCAGCTCCAGGGCTACGACTGCCAGGGAGAGACAGCCCTCCTTCCCAGCCTCAGCTTGGGGGCTGCCATGGCTGGGGAGAGAGGGCACATCCGTCAAATTAGAAAGATAAGACCACTAATATTAAAATATGAGTTGTGTGCTTTTATTTGTAGAACAAAAAAATATCAATTATTATTAAGGGTTTTTTTTAATATAGCGTTTTTATCCAAAGCACTTTACACTAGTTAGCTAACGGTACAAA